AAAAAAAAAAAAAAAAAAAAAAGAAAATGAAGATCCTTATCCTTTGATCACCACCGTGATTTTTCATTAATCCCGCACAGTCAGCCGCAGAAGTTTCCCTCCCCCGCTGTTTCGAGCAACTGTTACAAGCCCTGCAACTTCCTTGTTCCTTGTCTGTCGAACGACGTTTTTTCCATTTCGAGGGAAATTCTTTCAAGCTCGTTTCCGGGGCTAACGGCGTAACGAAAACGAGGAGGAGGAGAAAAAAAAGAAATGAGAGGAGCGGAGGGGAATGGGAGAAGCGTACTAAAAAGGAGGAAAAGAACGAGTCAAATTAATTGTTGCGATCGATCCGCCGATAATTAGGTCGTGGAATCGGCGATAGATCGACGAAACGTTGGAGAAAAAAGTGAATAGAGTTGACAGTGATTGTGCGATTTCGAACGATTTTGTAATTTTGATCATGTAAGGGATGTTTTAAAAAATTAGAGATATGAAAAACTTGAGAAAATTTCAAAGAGGTATACTATATTTTCCATTCTATAAATTTTTGCATTCTCATATGCACAAACACACTCCAGCGGCAAATGTTTGAAAAAATTTTGGAGCGATTATTCAAAGATAGAATCTTAAAAATTTTTATTTTTAATTATTTATGGTAAATAAACAAAATTGAATTGAATAGAGGAAAATATTTGAGCGAAATATAATTACATTTTCGGTAGAGTAATAGATAAAATGAATTGAATAAAATGAATGAATCTTTGCTATTTTATTTCGTTTCAATTCAAATCCCCTAGCCCCTTCCTCACTTACTTGCATCGTAGGAAATGAGCGGAACCAGCTATTTACATTTAAGAAGTTGGAATTCTCGTTGATAGCCCCGTGCCATGGAACCGGCTTATTAGACTGCGACTTTCTAACTTTATCTTGCACGTTCCCCGAAAGAGCTTTATAAATTTACGACCTGCGCAACCATTTGCGAAAGATGCATGCGAAATTTTCGTGAAATTTTACCAAGAATGATTTATCGAAACCTCGTTACGTTACCTCGAACAAAACGAAATATCGTATTATATCGAACAATATATACATACACACACGTTTTATTAAATTAATAATCCGATTCAGATTTCACAGATTTCAAACGAATTTATTCCTCATCTCTTCCAAAACTGATGGAAAATTTCAAATAACGAAAAGAAAAAAAAAAAGAAGAGAAGAAAATATTCTGTTCCTATATATACAAATCTAAATAAATTTTTAAATTTCACGAATAATAAATTGAAAGAATAATACGATAGAATAATATTGTACAGGCTTTTAAAATAAATATAGAAATATCATATATTTACTCTAATTTTTCTTTTAACATGAAGAAACAAAATTAACGATTTGCAACGTTCAAGGAGGGGTGGAAAAGTGCTAAATTTATTTACACGAGCGATCAAATAACCGGACGACGATAAAAGCGGGTGGAAAGCGGCGAGCAGCAGCAGCAGCCCTCTCCTGTAGATACAGCCGCGGCAGTGCACGGCAGACTGCAGGTCGCGGATAGACGTGGCTTGGGTGTACGTACGCCCCCGCACACGCAGACAGGGGTGAGTGTATCGAGTGCGCTGGTTGCTCGCAAGGGGTGAACGCCCCGAGGTGACCGCGTCCCGCACCCTCCAACCTGCACCACTTCTCAGAGTCTCTCTCCTTCGGAAATTGGGGCTCGGTTCCAACCTCCCTCGTGCTTCGATCCTCTCTCTCCCCCCTCCCAGACGACCGCCCACGCGTCTTCCAACCGGTTAAACGTCCGCCGTTTATCAAACACGCCGCTCCATTGTTGCGTATTCAAGTTGCGATTATTATGGATTGTTTTTTTTTTTTTTTTCAGATTTTTCGCTCGATTCTTTTTTTTTTTTTTTCTCGATCGATTTTAATCTTCGAATTTTATTTCGAATTTCTCGTTGTTCGAGAAACTTTAGGTTCGTTGGATTCCCTATTGGATCGGGTTTTTCTAAAATTGGATTTTGTATGATCAAATTTGGATTATATTTTAATATTCAGATTCTTTGCATTTGGGCGAAGTTTCTGAACTTTTTCGGGGTAAAATCAAACTTTTTGAATTTTACACTCGTCAGATTTCGTGGAAATCCGGGATATCCAATTTTCAGCAGCCTACATTTCATATTCGTATAAACTTTCCATTATCCGAAGTTCGTCAAACTTTCGATTACTCGACGATCTCAGGGACGTTTCTCAGATTTCCGATCCGAAGTTTTGATTGGCTATATTTCAAATTTATCAAATTTTCCACGACCTGCCCTTGTCAGACTTCCGATTTAACAGTGATTTCAAGTTGGATAATCAATTATGCTACGTATGTCGATTCCTTTTGTCGATCTTTTCTTTTATCCTCTATCTTATCCGAGAATTTTTCTTTCCTAGTAATAAATATTACTATCCGCTTATTGGTTTCATTTGTTCTCGACTCGTCTCGATGATCTTTCGAAGATTCGAAGTTGCAAGAGACACGGATCATCCGTCGAGTTTTACTTTGAACCTCTTAAGAAAAAGATATCATCGAATGTCAAGTATTTACGTTATAATCGTTCTTTCCTTCCACGAACGTTCAACGCTTGAATTAATGAACAAAAGACTTTTCCCGTCTGCGTAATTTATTCATTTATGAATAATGCTTGAGTAAGCAGCATCCTCTCTTTGGATTCTTTAGAATTTTCAATAACGAAGAAAGAAAAGAAAATTAATCGGTAATCTTTCAACGGATATGTCAAGATATTTTTTTTTTAATATTTTTGAAAAAATAAAAGATAAAAAAAGTTATAATAAATAAATCGTTCGCGATCGTCGAATAAATATTTTCCTCTCCGATCCTTAATTAATTCACTATTTGCTCAAGTTGAATATTGCATCGTTGGAATAATCATCTTTATTTATCACGATTTTTCCATTGCAATAACAATTCCTGGAACTCTCGTTACGAGACACAATCTCTGGGCGAAGCATGAGTCCAACAGCAACAAAATACGAAACTGTGAACTTTGCTTGGAAAGTTGGACCGTCAAAACCGGAAGCAAGGCGTTTAAACACTTGGAAACTTCTCCCTCGAAAGGATACAGTTGATCGCAAAAGTTTCTCACCATCTTTACATTTTACATCGATAAAAAGAAAATTTCATATATATTTAAAAGACGATTAAAAAATTCTTATGCAAATTTAAATCTTTTCACTCAACAGATTCGATTAATTTTCTAAACTTTTTCCACGTTATTTAAATTTCCATTTTAATAAATAATAAAATTGAGAAAATAAAAATCACACGTCGATAAATGCTCGAATATAATCGAGCAGTAAAACGCCTTAAACTTCGTTTCAGAGAGCTCGTCGATTCTACGTTTGACATTCGAAACGAATTGCGAGATTAGAGAAGAGAAAGTCCCCCGCGTTGACCGTGACAGCGTTCCTTTAACAAAAGCTGGCTTAAAGAGCCGCCACACACGAATTACCGCGCCATTGTTCGCGTCATCCGCGTTCGTTCTCAAATGAACCGAGCAATTTCCAATTAACCAGATCCGTGCTTTGCTCCTTTCGAAACACCGATCAACACCGTCTCGCATCGATAATCCTTAAAAAGCCGATTGGAAACTAATAATTCTGGCTTTCATCTCGATATAGGGGGAGGGAAAAAAAGTTAAATCATTTTTATTCGTACATCCTCGAAAATATGGCTTTATCCTTTCCTTCTGTATTTTAGAAATTCAAATTATCGATATGTTTGTTTTACAACACGAGAAGATTTATCTTTTTTTCTTTTTTTTTTTTTTCGTTGCAGTTTTATTTCTCTGACAACAGGTTGGGTTGGATATTCCTTCTAAGTTTATTATCATTATTATCCAGGTAAATTTCTACCTGGAGGAGGATATATTTATTAAATTGAATAATAAAATAAAGAATAATTTAATGAAAGACGAATATAGTGGAGAGTGTAAAATTTATTTTGGAAAAGAAGGAAAAGAAAAGAGAAGCATATATGTGAGTGACGAGAGAAAGATCAATTAATTTTTTTAATCTCGATGATTTTAATCATCGTGGCTCGCCTCCACGATGGAACAAAAGCGCAAAAGTGTGTGTTTATTGGGAGTCGGTGATTCGATAAATCTAAAAGGTAGACCTTTGTATGGTTCTCGTGTTCTTAAGCTTCTCGTTTTCCACCTTTTGTTCCCTCGAGTAGTGTTTCGACGTTAAATGTGAGATATTGAGTCTGATGCATTGTTCGAAGGTATTTCGAGTAATTATCAGGTACCACTTCAGTTTATAAGTATTCAGATATATGTCGATCTCGTACGAAACGTGATAATTGACCTAGATTTTCGGTTGGCTTATCGGAATTTTGTATTCACGCGAGATAACGATTCAAAACACGATTGAAAAATTATTGCGAAAATTATTTATTCCCTGATGACGGGCTGCGGGCAAAAATATATGTATATATATTTTTTTTCTAATAAATTGAAAAAAAATTTTGGAATTTAAAAATTCGCAAATTTCAAAAATAATTTCGTAAAATAATTGGCGAATAAAAACAAAGAGAACAAAATTAAAATAATCATTTTTAAAAAAACCATTACTTCTTAATGTCAAAGTTAACCTGTAACTCATTATTTCTTTTTTTTTTCTCTCAAATGATAAATCCTTTTCTCACCACCTTTTTCACCATTCCACTATCAAACGAGGGCACCTTTGTTCCCGAAACGAGTTACAACTCGGTTTTTAAATCTAATCGAACGGAAATTTTACCTTGGCTTCAAGGGAGGTGTGAAGGGTCATTTGCGCGGAGAAAGGGAAGAATCGAGGCTGGGAAAAGGAAAACGGATGAAAAAGAAGAGAAAAGAAATTCGCGACACACTTCTTACATCACCGAGCTCTGCCAAGGTTAAAAACGTAATCGACGAAACGAAAGAAATATATCCTCCAAATTTACGATACACGAGTTCAAGGAAGATATACATTATTACCGAGCGAGAATTTCAAGAAATTCGCCGATGTTATTATTTAAATATACACTCTTCTAAAATATTGATTTACACGAGCTGCACGAGAATCAGAAACTTCGTCAAAACGAAATTAAGACGCGATGTTATTGTGTCGATAATATTTCGCGCGAAACGAATTAAATTAAGAGATATTAGATTATAAAAGATATTCCGGAAACGGAACTCGTCGAATATTTTTAAAATTATATTTATTTTAAATTGGAGCAAATAATAAGAAGATATAACCGAGTTTACGAAAAGAGAAATGTTGGAAGAGCGGTGTTTAAAACAGTGTTTCGGATATTATTCCCCAATCATGGCCGCAATTAAAGCGAAAGCCTTTTCCACCGGATGGTAGTAGCTCGCTCAGTCAGAATCCCGTGATAAATCATCGACCCTGACACATATTCAGTGCACGGGAATATGTGCCAGCGCGCACGAACGGGCACGGTCATGGATTCGTTCGAACAGGTTCGCGGACTCTCCTCCTTATCTTATATTTACCAGGCATTTCAAAAAAGAAAACGTATTTTACTTAATTGAATTTATTCTTACGAGTAATTTTTTTTTTTTAAGAATTTGTTTTGTCAAAAATAAGGCAAGGAATAAGGGAATAAATTATTGCAATTATTTCAGAAAAGAAAACGTATTTTAACGTATTTTATTTAATTGAATTTATTCTTACGAGTAGTTTTTTTTTTTTAAGAATTTGTTTTGTCAAAAATAAGGCAAAGG